CACCAAACATGTGGAAGAAGGTGCTCTGGTCAGATGAAACCAAAATCAAACTGTTTGGCCACAATGCAAAACGATATGTTTGGTGTAAAAGCAACACAGCTCATCACCCTGAACACACCATCCCCACTGTCAAACATGGTGGTGGCAGCATCATGGTTTGGGCCTGCTTTTCATCAGCAGGGACAGGGAAGATGGTCAGAATTGATGGGAAGATGGATGGGGCCAAATACAGGACCATTCTGGAAGAAAACCTGTTTGAGTCTGCAAGAGACCTGAGACTGGGACGGAGATTTATCTTCCAACAAGACAATGATCCAAAACATAAAGACACATCTACAATGGAATGGTTCACAAATAAACGTATCCAGGTGTTGGAATGGCAAAGTCAAAGTCCAGACCTGAATCCAATCGAGAATCTGTGGAAAGAACTGAAGACTGCTGTTCACAAACGCTCTCCATCCAACCTCACTGAGCTCCAGCTGTTTTGCAAAGAAGAATGGGCAAGAATTTCAGTGTCTCCATGTGTAAAACTGATAGAGACAAACCCCAAGAGACTTGCAGCTGGAACTGCAGCAAAAGGCGGCGCTACAAAGTATTAACGCAAGGGGGCCAAATAATATTGCACGCGTCACTTTTCAGTTTTTTATTTGTTCAAAAAGTTTGACACATCAAATAAATTTCAGTCCACTTCACGATTGTGTCCCACTTGTTGTTGATTCTTCACAAAAAAAATTTAATTTTATATCTTTATGTTTGAAGCCTGAAATGTGGCAAAAGGTTGAAAAGTTCAAGGGGGCCGAATACTTTCTCAAGGCATTGTAAACATTCACACAAGAGGAGATATCATTTTATCTGAATGCAGTTTTATTATGATTTAAATCAACTTTAACATGATTAATGTGCTGTTAAACACCAAGATCAAGCTAATTCCATAAAGCAATGTTTAGTATTCATATATATATATTAAGATCATCTTAAAATGAGAATGAACACCATTATAGGTGTTTAGACATTTTAGAAGTTAAATCTTGTAAATGATGTTATGTGTGATCTCATGCAATATTGACAGATTTTTTGAAACTTTATAGACATTGACTCCAGCTCAATATCTATAAATTTTAAAAAGTTAAGGTCATTCCTAAGTTGTCTTTAGATGATTAGCTGTGGCCGCCCTCCTAATCGTGTTGATGCAAAATGTAATGAGTTGTAGCTCTTCATCCAGTGTTTACTTTAAATTCATCCAGTGGTTCATGGGATATTTTGCTAACAGACAAACAGTTAATGCCAAATATCCTGATGTATGTTCAATAATCCAGGTAGAAAAATCTAAAAAACTTAAGTCAGGTCCTCTGGACAGGTTAAAAAAACTAAAAAAAAAAATGGTAGAAACGTTTCATCTTTCATCCGAAGGACTTCTTCAGTCTGAGGAGCTGTATTCAGCTCAGTCTTATACATAGCACCTTCTCACAGTGGATCAACCAACTGAATACAGCTCCTCAGACTGAAGAAGTCTTTCTGATGAAAGACGAAACTTTTCTACAAATTTTTATTTTTTTTTGGTTTTTGAACCCGGTCAGAGGACCTGACTAAACTTTTTTAGAGTTAATGCCAAAGTTTCAAGCAAAGATCTTGAGCAAGGTTTAGCTCTCACAGTATGCGTTGGGGCTGTATACACCTTCCAGTGTGGGATCAGACTATGGTCCAAATAATAATCACCATAAAAATACTTTGTGTGGTTTATATGCCATCTAGAGGCAACAAGGGGATTTTGATCCCTCTGCAGGGATTAGTGGGATGGGGACTAAGTGACAATCCCTACATGTTTGTGTTTTCTGATGTCTTGCAGCCATCAACAGCTCGAACTTATGGTTTCAAGTCTAATCAATAACAGCTGAACATTTGACTCTCTCAGCTAAAGTCATCTTCTTCTCATGGAAAACTCTGGCTGCTTTCACAATCAATAACCAGTTACATTTTCTCTGTTTTGCTGACCTTTCTGCATAACATGAGCTATGCATTTCAATGAGATTCCTTTATCCTCGTGGCCATAAAGAGATTTCTTGGACAGCAAAGGCCTTTGTTCAGGAAGGCTAAAAAAAAAAAACTACACAGCTTCATGTACAGTATACTGGACTTGGAAAAATATCTACTACTATTACAGCTTTGCTGTTACACACGTGTAATTTCAACCCATTTTGAAGTATTTAGTTTATGTTTAGTCAGCACTAAGTTCATCTTAGAGGCAATAAAAAAAACTTTTGTTGTGAAGGCTAATGGTTGCCGAGCATTGGCACTACCAGTGTAGAAAACTACTCTGATTAATTTTAAGCTTCATTGCCATGTAACGAAAATCAAAAAAATGGACCATAAACTTTGTTTTCTTCATTTCTGAAGCTCGTGCAGCTTTTTATTTAGTTTTACTCTTTTTCCTCTTTCCACAGTTGCTAGCTATTGTGCAATGCTAATGCTAACTTGTGCATAAACAAGTACAACAAATGAAGATTCAGTTTTACATTTTTAACCTAAATGTTTCTTTTTAGACACAAAAAGTGGATGGTAATGATTTTGCTTGTGCCTGCGTGAGCCTGTCTGTTACCTAAACTGGACTTCTGAGCAGGACACCCCATCCCCAGTTGCTCCCCTGGCACCTCCAAAGGTCACCCACTGCACCACCTGGTGGTGGATGAGTTAAATGCAGTGAGCCAACTTCACCATTGTATGGGAACATACGATGACAACATATAACACATTATTTATTACTTGACGTACATCTAGTTATTTTGATATCCTAAATGATTCTCACACTACTACAGTATTGCACTTTAAGTTTTAGGATTTTTGAAGATTTTATGAAACGTTCAACTGACCGTGAAGGTTATTGTCTCAAATAAAAACATAATTTCTTACTCCCACAACCATTTTTAGTTTCTAGTACATATGAATATTCCAACCAAAACAGATGTTTTTGTCTTACTCACTAGTAAGGAAGTGCACAGACTTGTAGCTTAAAACATTCTCTTCAAAACTAGAAGAAGCTGTATAAACATACAAATTCACATGTGGCCATGTCTTTTTTGTTGCTTACAATTAAAAACAAAAAACCATTTCACTGTGTGAGGCTTACTTTTCAGTCCGTTTCTATCTGTTTTGCGATGAGGGCGTGGACAGAAACAGGAGTGTTGTTACCATGGCGACCATAAGGAGCCAATGGGAGCAGCTTTAGTAATTTTGAGTTTGGTTCTCTCTGTACTTTTTAAACAGTTTACTGTATATCTAAATGTCACATTTTAGGTTTTTTTAAGCCTAGATTATTTTAAAGTTGATGTTTGAATTTTGGCTAGTACTAAATTTAGAAATGTCCTTTTTTTTGTTGTTGTTGTTTTCACATGGCTATCTTTTTCCTTCTCCTCTCAAAACAAAACTGTGCAACAGGACTCATTTTCTTGTATTTGAAATTGTTTGACCTGCCTCCTCCATGAATCCCTAAAAGGATCCAAATTATAGCTCCAGCTGTTTTATTCTTAATAAACTCAATGCAAATTGTTACAACACACAGTCCACTGTGGTATGTGATATTTGTTGAAATCAATTAATTAATGAAACTACAACATTTACTTGTTTTTACATGACAAGCCAGTTTTATTGTCCTCCATGGATGGGAACACAAGTCGTGTGTACAGAGTGGTAGCCACATGCAATACAAAAATATGAATTCTTACAATACGACATAAAAAAAAAAACACGAATTGGCCCATCCTTTTAAAAAAAATGTACAGCTTTATACAGTATTTATACATGAAAAAATAAAAATTTATACACATATGTACATATCTGTAACAACAGCAGTACCTTTTCCAAAATGTGACGTATTTTACATAAAAAAAAGTTTATACAAATAGAATTGTGTTAATTTGCTAAAGATTAAATAATGTATGTACATTCCACACATTAGATCTGCAACACACAGTAATTTTCACACAAAAAAAAGTTTTCCAGCATCATAGGCTCACCCAGTTTTACATGCATCCACAAGGAAAAAAAAACAAAAAACAAAGACATAAATATAAGCCTGCAATCCAAATCCAGAAATCACAAACAGCGCACAGGAGGTCCTGTTGGACACATTTGCTTCCTGACCTTTTCTGTTGGTTTGCTTTTTCTCCACATATTAGAATCACTTGAGCAAAAAAAAAAAAAAACTTGTAGGTATAACTTCAGCAGATGAACATTGTTACTGAAAAGTCTTCAATCCTAAACAGCCTGTAAATATTAAAATACCATATAATTTTTCTTGCATGTTGTTTTTTGCACATGCAACTTAGTGATCCGTTTTCAAATGCATCCCAGAATGAGTGATTTATCAGACCGTAGTTAAAAAAGGACAACACACAGGTGAGCACATCACACCGCTCTGCCTCTGAAAGCCTCCTGCAGAAGAAACCTGCAAATATCTACATGCAAAACTAAACAATCAGAAAGTTCATGATCCTTTTTTATTTCCTTGATGACAAAGTGCATATCGTGTCCAGATGTAGATGCACATGCGGTTAAGAAAATAGATGAACAAAAATAAAGACTGAAGGAAGAGGCAGCTGGTTTGAGAGCATCACTCGAGCAGCATGTCCGACGTGTGTCGAGCCCTCCGGGGAAAACAAGAGATAAATGAAGTGGTCCGTTCAGTGAGCGGGTCTATTTCATGTCCAGCAGCCTCTTTATGAGTTTCAGAGACAGAGGGGGGGGGGGGGGGGGGGGGGGGGGCCTTTTGGGCGGGACACGGTAGGCACATTGTCATCCAGGCCGTGACCCCACACCGGCAGAAGAAGACGAGCAATGTGCGCTCCAC